ACATTCAGCTCGATGACGATCCCCGGACTCCGATCCAGCAAAGTGTCGGGGAAGAGTTCCGTCAGCACGATGGCGTGATGACGATCTTGATGTACTACTGCAGCAGGGCTTCGCCTAAACTCCGCTACAATATTATCGAGGACCATGGTGGAAGGGGCCACCGCACACGGCTAAGAATATGATGGCGTGGATCAACTTGTGTCTCTGGGGTGCCCCTTGCCTCAGTATATAAAGGATGGAGGAGGAGGAGGCCGGCCAAGGCAATTGGTGCGGCCAGGATGTGGAGTCCTACTAGGACTCCAAGTCCTAGTAGGAGTCCACCAAGAGGGGAGGAAGGGAGAAGGAAGTGGAGGAGAAGGAGAGGTGGCCGGCCCCCTTTTCCCTAGTCCAATTCGGACCAGAGGGGAGGGGGGCGCAGCAGCCCCTTGGCCCTTTCTCCTCTTCCCACTAAAGCCCATCAAGGCCCATTGCTTCTCCCGTAACTACCCGGTACTCCGAAAAATACCCGAATCACTCGGAACCTTTCCGATGTCCGAATATAGTCGTCCAATATATCAATTTTTACGTCTCGACCATTTCGAGACTCCTCGTCATGTCCCCGATCTCATCCGCGACTCCGAACTCCTTCGGTACATCAAAACTCATAAACTCATAATATAACTGTCATCGAAACCTTAAGCGTGCGGACCCTACGGGTTCGGGAACAATGTAGACATGACCGAGACACGTCTCCGGTCAATAACCAATAGCGGGACCTGGATGCCCATATTGGCTCCTACATATTCTACGAAGATCTTTATCGGTCAGACCGCATAACAACATACGTTGTTCCCTTTGTCATCGGTATGTTACTTGCCCGAGATTCGATCATCGGTATCCAATACCTAGTTCAATCTCGTTACCGGCAAGTCTTTTTACTCGTTCTGTAATACATCATCCCGCAACTAACTCATTAGTTGCAATGCTTGCAAGGCTTAAGTGATGTGCATTACCGAGAGGGCCCAGAGATACCTCTCCGACAATCGGAGTGACAAATCCTAATCTCGAAATACGCCAACCCAACATGTACCTTTGGAGACACCTGTAGAGCTCCTTTATAATCACCCAGTTACGTTGTGATGTTTGGTAGCACACAAAGTGTTCCTCCGGCAAACGGGAGTTGCATAATCTCATAGTCATAGGAACATGTATAAGTCATGAAGAAAGCAATAGCAACATACTAAACGATCGGGTGCTAAGCTAATGGAATGGGTCATATCAATCACATCATTCTCCTAATGATGTGATCCCGTTAATCAAATAACAACTCTTTTGTTTATGGTTAGGAAACATAACCATCTTCGATTAACGAGCTAGTCAAGTAGAGGCATACTAGTGACACTTTGTTTGTCTATGTATTCACACAAGTATTATGTTTCCGATTAATACAATTCTAGCATGAATAATAAACATTTATCATGATATAAGGAAATAAATAATAACTTTATTATTGCCTCTAGGGCATATTTCCTTCACATGGGTACTCCCGCGCCTCGATCCACTGCTCCGCCGAGGAAATCTACCACCAAGACTGGGAAGCAGGAGGTGATACGCCGACAACCTGCACAGTTGGTCAAGCTCGAGCTCCCGTATTCCCGGGAAGAACTTTCCGGGGACGATGATATCCCGTTCCCGCCAAGCTCACCGCCGCTAACTATCAAGAGAGAGCCAGGGAGTCCCCACCGCTGTCTTAGTACAAAATGAGCATCCTTGTCGAGTCTGATGACGAAGAGTAAGCCTTTTCCTTCCTCTTCTTGTTATGTCCCAATTCATATTTTTGTCAATATTGATCTGGTTCTTCTGTTATTTCAGGGACGAGGAGCCGCTGATCCAATGAACGAAGTGGGCCAAGCCATCGGCGGGCCATGGTTCACCGTCAAGGGCCGGGCAGGAAATGCCAGCGGCTGACATGGCGGCCACAAGCCCCCAGGCTAGGCCCCCGCCTCAGGACGTGCCGTCGCGCCAGACGATCACTACTGATGTCGAGGTTTGTCCTTCCAGGGCGGACAAGGAAATGGGAGGGGAGCACCAAGGTGAGGAGCGCCAAGGAGCAAACCCCGCTAAGGGGCCCCCGTCAACCATGCATTATTCCCGGAGAAGCCCCTGGTAAGGGCCTCCATTGATGACTTTGTCCACACCGGTGCTTTCCCGACGACGGAGAATGTCGAGGGCCGTGTGCTGGTAACGCATGCTGCCGGGGGAGGGGATGCCCCTTCCCAACAAGTTCGCGGAGTTATTTGCATGAGAAATTTCCTTGGTCGCCATCCGTGGTTTGATTTCTACGCCTTCTTTTTCTTTCTTGGTTTTCAGCTCCAAATTCTCCCGCGGGAGGCGACGAGCTTGTGGAAGTAGCCGGCATTGCCAAGGTTGCCACCGAGGAGGCCACCAAAATTGCCGGGGACATCCAAGAGACCCACGTAGCAACAGAGGAGGCCTACAGCAACCAGTCTAAGCCCTCCAAGATGGACGTAGACGCGACACACACTATTGACCCGTCATCAGTTCTTATCGAGCAACCAGTGTTAGTGGCCCCGCCAATCCTGCCAACCAGCACAGAGATGGTGACCTTCCAGGCCAGTCTTGGAGCCCCTGGCTCATCTGGTACCACATAACTAAACATTGAATAAGAAGTCGCTTGAATCCTGCTTCCTCTCCGTTGCTGGAGGTGGCGGATCGGCATCAACACGGGAGGAGAGGATCTGGGTGGAGAGCAGGGCGATTGCTGGGGGACTCCTCCTTGGTGGTCTGTGGGGAAGTACAGTGTGAAGGAGAGAGAGAGAGAGATGGCGAAGGTGAGGTGGGTGTCATCTGGTTTAAATAAGAGAGTTTCTGTGAGAAATGTCTGGGGTGGAGTGGGGAGGGTGCGACGTGGGGTGGAGTTTTGTGTTGTGAGCGCGTGTTGCGGATAGTCTGGACTACACATTCTCGCCCACATATAGGCTGGATTTGAGGGAACCCAGACTGTCCAGACGGTTGAACTTTGGTGATCCCACTGGGCACCCGTTTGATGTCCAAACACATCCGAACGTATAAGGAAGAAATGAGCTTCGACCTTTGGAGACGATCTTAATCATTTGTTTGGTTTATGTATATGCATTGTAGGGTTGCGACCAGGTCGACCTAGGGTAGCCCACAACCGCTCTGTGCCCTGACGGTGTCCCTCCCGGGCGTGTGGGGTTTCGGGTCTATAAAAGTGTCCGTTGGATTGCTTGTGTAACGCGCTTCTGGCCGGGTCTTATTCGACGTGAGCTGCGGTTTATCACCCTCGGCATCGAGGGTACACGGTGATATGTTCGTGTGCGAACACCAACATGTGCGGACATAGGGTTTTCCCAGCTGCATGGGCAGGAAAATAAGTGGGCTGGCTTCGCTGGGCCATAGGGCGCGCACATACAAAATTTCTGACAAACCATTTTTTGCCTTGTCTAAATAAAAAAGCAGACATACGCACAAGAAATTAGTACCGCCTCAGATAGAAAAAAGAAATCTTTTCGACAGCGAATGAAGAAATCGTAGAAATGCACCTTGCTTAGATTAATGTACAGTCTTGAATATATGGTGGATCCCTATATATGTTCAAAATACGTATTTTTTCCTGCCATAATGAGACCAAGAATTAATAGCCATGACTAATAAAACCAAGAAATAATTCTAATAGATTTTACATTAACTAATGAATACCCAGTCTGGAATACATTGGTTGCAATATACGCTGGAGTAGTAGTATACATCTTGGCATGTTCAAATAGGTCTAGCCATAATAAAAACCAAGAATTAATTACCACGATCTATTTGATCTCGAGGTAAACTGCACCCGCACATTGCTGATTGCAAATTAAACAGGCATTAATTTTAATCATGTTCTGGGATCGAGACAGATATACTCCGTATATACGCTAGCTGTGATCGAGGCAGATATACGTGCCATAATCGGCAAGCTTTAAGGCGATATATAAACAGAACAGCGGCGGCATGCAAGTAGTAACTCCATATCATTTAATCGCAAAAGATACGCCAGCCAGCACAATATTTGATTTCCCTGGTGGAATTAGAAAGCAGTGGAAGCTCGATATTTGCATGCGTGAAGCAGCACCGTGATTACGAATGGACGGCGGAGATCGACCGGCCACCCCTATAAATACCCCTGTACCTTGGCCGGATACACCACCAAAGCCCCAAGCAGCAAGCAACAGAGCAAGAGCAACCGTAGTAGTTTCAGTCATAAGCTCAAAGGTTCATAGCCACTCTCGCCCCTCTGTCTGGTCGTGCATCTTCCACTAGTTTTCTCTCCATGCATGCCTACAAGATCGATCTAGATTGTTCAAGCTAGTGCATTTTGATCAGTTTTGATCTATGCAGCACACTTTCTGGTTGTTGTTGGCAGCCATGTATAGGCATCTATTTTCGCCATTCTTTTTTTGGATGTTTTCTTTGCTTTCTTTACTTCATCCTTATGCTGTTTTTTGTGAAGAATTTCATAAAGTGGTAAATTACCAATTAAGAAAGTGTACCTCTTGCAACAACAGCTACGTACATATCTCTGTTCCTTCCTTAATTTGTTTCTCTGCCTTTTTTTTTTGCATCACCGCTGGTACATACAAGATCGAGATTGTTAGAGGCGCTGCCTAAACATGTGCACAGCACTGCCTATATATGTTGAACTTGTTGGCACGGAGCCATGCGTATGGATCTATATTAGATACCGTGCATGCATGTTGCCAATATATGATTTTTTATTAGCTGAGATATATGAAACGTGTGGTCATCTTCCAGATGATTTGTAACCGATCAGTTTGCAACTAAAATGCACAAGCTTGCACTGTTATTGACTGATCATTAATATTATGATGCTCGTGTTAATTATACTTATAACAATCTCCTTGAAAATATTATCTAGGTGTGTATCAGAAATAACTAATATCCTTATTAATTCCGTTTGCAGTTATTTTAGCTAGCTGATCATGGCATCATCCCTCAAGGCACTGCTTGTTGAGGATATTAAGGTTGACAGCATGGTTCTCTCCTTCATGCTACGCAGATTTAACTGTGAGGTCACCCTGGCTAAGAATGGGAAAGAAGCTGTTGATATGTTCCTTGAGGGTAACAAATTCGACATTGTTTTGTGTGATAAGGACATGCCCATAATGACCGGTCCTGAGGTACGTACTTGAGTTGATTTGACGAATTCCTTCTTTTCCATATATTGGTTGGTCATCTCATTGACATTTCTATATGTTACTGCACAGGCAGTCATGAAGATCCGTGCTATGGGAGCCACTGATGTGAAGATCGTCGGGGTGTCCGCTGATGATAACGCCATGGAGGCGTTCATGAGTGCTGGTGCTGATGACTTTGTGCCCAAACCAATGAGGCTTGAGGTTCTCGGGCCTATGATTGAGGAGGTCATCAACAGGAAAAATAATTAGGGACGCTTGCTCGATCCATCTTTGGAGGAAGAAATTAAGCTAGCTCATATACTATGAATATTTGCTAGCTTTGCTATGCATCATATTATTGTCGGGTCGTCAATTTGTTTTCGTGGTCAAGCAGAGAGGATACCCATGATTAAATCATTGGGATCGATGTAATGTGCAACATTTTTGAATTTAATCTATTAATCTATTACCTCTCGTTGATTTATGCTTCAGGGTGTGTGACATGTGCATGTGTTCCGGAGGCAAGTTATTTGAGTCTCAATTAATTTGATATTGTTTCACGGTTTCGATTTCTTTCATTGGTTTCTGGAAACATGAAACAGATACTATATGAATGGCGCATTTAATCACCAGAGATACGCCAACATTTATTTGATATTCCCCAATGAAATTAAAAAAGCGGTGCAGATTGATATTTGACCAACGTGACTTCAAATGGACGTGGGCATCAACCTCCCATCCTACATAGTAGGAGCAAGCAACCCTCCATAAGCTCAAGGTTCACAATTCCCTCCTTATCTATCAAAACCACAAGATATTTCGAAATGGGTAGGCATACATCATACTTATAACTATTCCTTCCTTTTTCTGCCTTTATTTTCAGTTTCTGTTCCATCTTGCGCCATTTAGTAGCATTATTTTAGTCTCCATGCATGGATACAAGATATAAACTGTTAGAGTATCTACGACCAGACTTGGCCCATCCACCCCTATACGTCCGCGGGCACGTCCGGATGTGTCCCATAAAACACCGGATAGCATCTCATTTGTCTTCCCAGACAACCACACCCTTCATATCAAAACCCTAAGAATCGATGCACCTCCATCATATAGCACAAATTCACCACGAATTCAATAGTTCAATAGTGAAACAAATAAAAAATGAATCACAATTCAATAATTCAACACATGCCCAAGTGAAATACGACAATTCATAGATAGATGATACAAGAATGAATCATTCTGCGCTCGTCGCTCTATTTGCCCGTTGATGTCTTTTTCTTCTGCCTCAAGCCACTTCCTACCTTCCGGATCCAAGAGGATAGTGCTGGCCAACATGATCCTCGAACCTTCGTGTCCCCTGCAACCTCTCTTTCTCA